AAATACAAAGATGTGGACTTTATGTGATAAAATAAGTGACCAGATCCTCTGTTTTACAGTAAGACCATAAAATATAGGAGCAGAATTAGGCCATTTAGCCCAGTGAGTCTGCTCCACCATTCAATCATGACTGATACATTTCTCAGTCCCATTCTCCTGCAAGCTACAATGCCCCTACTAATCTATCCTATCTATCTATCTAGATGGAACCTATCTATCTCTGTCTTAAAGACAATCAATGATTTGACTTTCACAGCACTCTAAAGCAATGACTTCAACAGATTCACCACGCTCTGGCTGAAGAAATTCCTCTTCATCTCAGTTCTGAAGGGTTGTACCTACAGCCTGAGGCTGTGCCCCAGTGGATAAATATTAACTCAGACAAAAGGACTTAAAGACACTTAAAGAAACACAGAATCATCACAGTGAAGAAGGAATCTATTCAGCCCTATGTCACTGCTGCTTCTTGGAAAGAATTATCCAAATAGACCTCTTTCCTCTCCACAGCCTGACAATGATTCTCTCTTTTGTAATCAGATTATTTTTTGAAGTTATTACTGCATCTGCTTTCATCATTCTTTGAAAAAACTATCTGCACTAAAAATGATTTATGGATCTTGTCTCTGATTCTTTCAGTAAACTCCTTAAACCCAACTCCCAGCTAGCTTGGGAACTTTTTGCCAATGGAAATAATTTCTGCTTACTTTTCCTATTGAAACAAGATTTTGAATTCTGTCAAATCTGGCCATAACCATAAACAGAAATAGCTGGAGAAACTCAGCAGGTCTGGAAGAATCTGTGGAGAGAAAGCAGAGTTAACATTTTGGGTCCAGTGACCCTTCTTCAGAAACAAGGCAAAATCATTTTTCTGTCCAGAAAACAACAATTCCAATTTCTTCAGTCTTTCCACATACTGCACATCCCTGGACACTATGGGTACGTTAGCATGGCAAACCCACCTAACCTTCACATCTGTGAAGACTGTGGGAGGAAACCGGAGCACCCAGAGGAAACCCGTGCAGACACGGGGAGAATGTGCAAACTCCACACAGATAGCTGAAGCTGGAATCGAATCCAGATCTCTGGCGCTGTGAGGCAGCAGTGATAACCATCATGCCACCCTTGCAGCTACCATTTTGTGGGAGAGCTGTGCATCTGGTATCAGTGGCCAGTTCATCACAGAGCATGTCTTTGCAAATGCAGCCATGATCCATGGGACTGATGTGACCCAGCGAGCACAGTCCTCATAGTGTGAAGGGAGCAAACACACTGAGCTCCCTGCACACTGCTTTACCTCCATATCCACACATTCACAGAACTGTTAGAGCTCAGGAGGAGGCCATTTGGCCCAACTGTGCATCAGCTCTTCAAACAAGCACCATTGCCTTGTGCCAACTTCCTGCTTTCTCCCCATACCAGTGCCCATTATTTCTATCCAAATAATCAGCCAACACCCTCTTGAATGCCTCTATGGAACCTGCCACCAAAACATTTCAAGGTAGTGCATTCCAAATCTGAACTAAAAGGTAAAATCGCTATTGTCCAACCTGACAATAGGGCTGCTCTCTCATTAGAGAGAGACAGAGGAGACTGGTGGTGGTTTAACCTGAGGGTCACCACACCTCAGGCGGGGGGGGCAGGGTGGCGGGGGGAGGAAGAGGTTTAGAAGGAAAATCCTTCACGGAAACATGAGCCACTGCAGAAATTGGACCCATTCATTTGGCATCACTCTGCACCAACTAAGCTAACCAACCCTAACTAACTCACTGAGCGAAAGTGAAAATCTTTTTTTCACATCACCCTTCCTGTTTTGCATGCCACTTTAAACCTATGACCCTCTCGTTCTTGTTCCTTCTATGAATGGGAACAGCTTCACCCTATCTACTCTATTCAGTCCTGCTCATGATTTTGAAACCTCCATCAGATCTCCTCTCAGCCTTTCTCTCTCCAAGGAGAATAGTCCCAACTTTGTCAATCTATCCTCATCACTGAATTTTCTCATTTCTGGAACTAATCCTGCAAATTGCTTTGGTAGTCTCTCCCATGCATTCATGTTGGTACATTTTGGCTTAACTTATGTGAACAGCTCCAGAGTGAACTTGTCAGTGCTGATGGGAGGTAGAGATTCTCCCCACCTGGCCCATAGCTACAGATAATTGGTATCAGGAAGCCCAAACTCCTTACAGGCCTGGGAGAACCCATCCACAAAGCGAAGCTCACAGAGCGTTGTGTTTAATTGCGAGGTGAATTTAATGCAAGAGTAGGGAGGTTATGCTTCAGTTACACAGAGCATTGGTGAGACAGCACTCTGAGCACTGTGTACACTACTGGTCACCGTACTTATGGAAAGATGTTGATGCATTGGAAGCAATTCATAGAAAGTTTACTACACTATTAACCTGGAATGAGCAGATTTCCTTATTTAAAAAAAATCTAGCCCTATATCCTCTGGTGTTTGAAAGAGTCATAGAATCTTCCTACAGTGTGAAAACAAGCCATTCAGCCCATTGAGTCCACACCAACCCTCCAAAGAGCATCCCACCCAGACCCAACCTCCTGCCCTATTCCTGTTGCTCCATATTTACCATGGCTAATCCACCTAATGTGCACATCTCTGGACACTATGAACAATTTAGCATAGACAACCCAACTAACCTGCACATCTTTGGACTGTGGGAGGAAAATCACACAGAGAAGAACATACAAACTCCACACAGACAGTCGCCCGAGGGTGGAATCAAACCCAGGTCCCTGGCGCTGTGAGGCAGCAGTGCTAACCACTGAGTCACCTCTTGAAGGAGAATCGAGAACTAGGAAGTCATAGTTTAAATTTAAGGGGCTGCCGATTCAAGACAGAGATGAGGAAATAGTTTTGCTCTTTGAGGGTGGCGAGTCTTTCGAATTCACTTCCTCAAAAGGCAGAGTCTTTAAATATTTTTAAGGCACAGGTACAAAGATTCTTGATTACCAAAGGCGGGTGAAAGGTTATGCAGGAATGTTGAGGTTAAAGTCAGATCAGCCTTGGTCTTATTGAACGGTGGAGGAGGCTCGAAGGGCTGAGTGGCCTACTCTTGTTTGTTCGTGCACATTGCTGCCAGTGAGCTTCAGCATGGCATGGCACCACAGTGCCATCAGTGATACCAAGTTGCCAACTCATATTTCGGTCTTGGCATGCAGTCTCACCAAGTTGATGAGCTAGCTGTCAAATCTGGCAAACCAGTAAACATGTTCACTTGAGACGCAAAATATGCCAAACTGAGCTGGTGCCAGGATGCAGGCCAGCTTTACACAGCCGCCCATCTTGAAATTCTCTGATGCTGACCCGTTGTAACTGGTATTACATCATCCATACATTCACCCTTATCACCAGTTTGCTCCGATCCTCCTCGCGGTCTCCTACCTTTCGGAGTTACAAACTCTGAAATTAGCCCTTGTACGCCCAAGTCCAGATTATTAACATATTTCTCAAATAGCTGCTTCTTTGAAAACAACTCTTTTCAGTTGATTGCGAGGTCAGAGGGCACCCCAGTTTAATGTCACATACACAGGGTGACACTTGCCCAGTGCAAACACTGGTTGTGCCAGCCAAGGTTTCCTGCTGAAATCTCTGCTGTAGGACTTGAACTCCCGGCCTTCCGAGTGAGAAACAAGAAATACACATCTATCCTGCAGATCGTTGTAACTTCGGCAGGATTAATCCAGAGAAAGCACAAGGGGCTGGGTCATAGCAGATTGACTAATTACCAACACAAGGTGCAATCAGGAAAGGGTGAGCTAGGGTCTTTAACCGTAGCTTTTTATCCCCTCAAATCCTCTCATTCTCATTCCCCACGAAACATGGCTGATTCTCACAATACAATAAACTGATCGCCCTTTACTAAATCTACAGTATTGCTGTTCACTGACCATGTTCACTGAATTTCTAGAAGGATCAATGGACACCAGTCAGGAATAGGGAACAAGGCCATTCAGCCCCTCAACTTGGTTCCACCTTTCAATGAGATCATGGCTGATCTACATAGTAGCTCTCAACTACTCGTCCTCAGCTCCTAGCCTCCTGATAAATCGCCCAAAAATCTGTCAGTTGCAGTTTTGAGATTTTCAATTTTTGGGTGTGAGAAGTCGTGGGGTTCCAGATTTCCAAGACCCTTTGAATAAATACTTCCTGATGACACCCCTAAAGGGCCTGGCACTCATGGTATGGTTCTGCCCCCCTTCCTGTCTTGTTCCAGACTCCCCTTCCCCACCCCCACACCCACACTCTACCAAGGGAAACAGTTTCTCTCAATCCACCTGTCAAATCCTTTAATCGTTTTAGCAACTCAATTAGATCATCCCTTGATCTTCTGTACTGGAGGGAATGCCAGTTGAACCAACACAGCCTGGCCTCGTCTTTAACCCCTTCAGCTCCAGAGTAGCAGCTATCTGCTGTCCCACTGCCGACCAGTTCTGACATTGGCACTCACTGTTGTCCATTTTCAGCTAAAACTCGGGCAAGACACTGCTCCTGATTTTAACAAGCACTGGCCTCACCTTCAGCTGCTTGGGCCCTGGACTCGAGCATTTCCTCCCTCAAACCCCAGCCCCCATTTAAGACTTAAAACCTCACTCTTTGACCTAAGCTTATTGGTCACCTGATCTATAAAATATCTCTTTAAGCAGCTGGGTATCAGTACTTTTGGGGGGAGTCTGATATCCCTGCTGGGAAGGGCCTGGGGGAATCGTTCGCCCACGTTCCGGACGCTATATAAATGCAAGCCATTGTTGTTACCAGCTCAGCGCAAGGGGAATCGAAGGCAGGAACGTTGCAGTTCACTTTCAGCTCATTCATGTCAGATGCTGAGCGGCGCCTGCTTCCCGGCTCCGAGCTGATAGCTATCTCCATGCAGGGGTGAAGCAGTCCCGGGACAATGAGGGGATCTCTCCCGCTCAGGAATGTGGTAAAGGCAGAGCATCCCTAAGGAAACAGCGCAGTGCCTTCACGCTGCCATCTCACCCACCGTCATAGTTAACGATGATGATCGCCAGCATGTAGTCCTTTCCCAGCATCGCGGCGGCTGTAGGAGCTTCGCTGCTCTTTCCATAAGCCACCGAGCCCCGGCTTCCTCCTGCTCACTCCCTCCTCCTGCTCACTCCCTCCTCCCTGCTCACACTGTCCCTGCTCCCTGTTCACTCCCTGCTCCCTGCTCCCTGCTCACTCCCTCCTCCTGCTCACTCCGTCCCTGCTCTCTCTCTCTCTCTCCCTGCTCACTCCGTCCCTGCTCTCTCTCTCTCTCCCTGCTCACTCTGTCCCTGCTCTCTCTCTCTC